ACGATGGCGGGTAGGGGCTGCGAGTGATTCCAGCAGGTCCCCTGTCCGAGGGCGGTTCGCACCGAAATGTTACGCGGTCGTGACCTGCGTTTCCCTCGTTCGGTTCTTGAACTATTTTTTTTTGTTATTTTAATCGAATCAAAGTCGTCGCCTGGAATCATCGCAAGCTGGGGTGGTGATGCACCTCGGCAGCAGAGTGGTAGGGCACTAGGGCGGTAGGGCGGCAGAGCACCGGTTGTTGGGATCTTCACGGGAGGAATCAGACGGCCACCCTGGTTAATACCACGTTGTGCACGAACCCTAACGGTGCTACGACGCGCCGTCCTCTCTTTAATCGCAGGCGGACGTTAAAAGGTCCCCCGACGTCATTGGAAGGATTTGGCCATCGTGGGGGTGGGGGGTGGGCGTCACGGTCCAAACTTGCAAATTGGAAAATGAGCCCTGCAATCTACTAAATTGGGACCAAACATAGCAGCAATCATCGGCTGTAGCAGACAGACTGATGCCCCAAGGCCACTCTCTGCCTGGTCTCTCTAGGGCTCTCACCTAGCTACACTAAATAAACTTGAACTTAAACTATTTATCGAATTGCTCGTCGAGGGTGTGGTGGTGGTGTAAATAAATGATGGGGGGGGAGCGGTAGTGTAACGGTTAGCGCGCTATGCTACGAACCCGGTGACCCATATTCGATTCCCGCTCACGGTCAACACCGCTGACGATTATCTGAACCGGTCCTGGGTCTCCGCGGAGGTCGACTCAGCCTCAAATGAGTGCCTCGGTGCGGTCTGTGGTAAAACATCGGCACTGGGAGACAAAGGCGGCCATTATTTGTCCATGACTTTGGTGGTGCAAATAAATCTTTCCAGTTGCATTTACAGTCGGCGTAATTTTTTTCTTGTACAGATTAAGCACGTATGTTGTTTGTGTACCTGTGCAGTAAAACGCTCGCGCGCGCACACACACGCACGCTCGCCTGGCGTCACGAAGCAACGGTCGCACGGCACGTGCACAACATCGCCGCCTGGGATTCCGCATGCGCAGATGCCGGTCGTTCGGTGGCGACTTGACGGTTGTAAAACACCAAGAATCATATTAGTCTCATGCGGTTAGCGCGGTTGCCTACGTACGGTGGTCCGAAAGAAGTTCAACATACATACTGCACTACACAGACTATGCTATACACTACACTATACACTACAATACAAGACACCACTTTACTACATTGAAAGCAAATTTCCTTAAAACTGATTTTTGCGTTTAGTTTATTATCCTCCCCCCGCACCTCCGATTAGCACGGTCGGCTACGTAGAGTGCAAAAGAAGTTCTAGATACACACAAACACAAGCGCGCGGGGATCTAAGAAATTACAAATCTTCCTTCCCGAGCCGACAGGCCGTAACACACACCTCGCATGCGGTCAACAACATTGCCTGTTGTGTGTTTGGACATAAAGGGGAGCGGTGGCACAGAGGTTAGCGCGCTGCGCTACGATCCCGGCGACCAGAGTTTGATTCCCGCTCACGGCCAACACCGGGGACGATTATCGGAGCCAAACGCAGCGTCACAAACATACATTTATACCCGCACTGCACATCTTTGGGGTCATTCTTTACGGCTGAATCGACCTAGGGGAGGCCCAGCAGACAGCCAGCGCGACAGCCAGGTGCTGAAGGGGCAGTACTGCCCATGTGACCCACAACTCATACAAAAGAGGACCCAATAGGGGGGCCCCCCATGTGTTTGAATCGCTTATGAATAAAGAAGGGGGGCAGCCACGTGACATTCTAACCCTACACCAGTGGTTCCTAAGTTCGCAACCCCGGGGGCTGTGAGATGCCCTTCTGGGGTTAGCGGGACATGGGCAGATTTTTTTGTTTAGACGGTAAATAATCGAAAAAACTAATTACGCACGGGCACGTAAGTACAACCACATTGTTTCACCAAACCCCATGTGTGGATTAACATTGTACACGTTGTAACGATTGAGAAGCAACGGGCTGCAAGGCTGCAGTAAAGGTTAACAAAGCTGTCAACAAATAAGGTATTCTTGTACAGGGAGTTCAGGTCCATGCGGCGTACAACCGTTCCAATACGGGCACACATTTTTTTGTGTCCATTTGTTTGTGTTTCTCCCTTGTGATGGAACTTTGTAGGATGAACGTTGAGATTTATTAGGGGCACGGGGTGACCAATAAGGTCTGAATTGGTGTTGTAAGAAGTTAGGGCACCGATAAGGGGTTGACAGGCGTGGGTTAAGAACCACTGATCTACACCAATGCCTGGGTGGCTCTGCCAAGAGAGGGCGGGGGGGGCAAAGGGAGGAAGAGATGAAGATGGAGGTTGCACGGGAGGGAGTGGCCCCATCGTGGGACTCCCAGCCGGGGCCCTGCGGCGCTCACGCGAGGAGTGAACACGCAGTTCACCGACACGAGCGCGCACGACGTGAAATCGCCTTCAAGACAAATATTAGCCCCGATGCTCATCCGGACCCCCACCCCCGCCACCACCGCCCCCCACCCACCCACACAACTCACCACCAACCCAAACGGCACCCTCGCCGTGAATGCCACCAACCCACCGGCACTCCCCTGCATCAAACAGCCACCACCGCCATTCACAGCCCCACCAAGCAGAGTCACTCCGTCACCTCCACCGCCTACACACAGACATCGTCGTCGTCATCGTCACCACCAACACGTGGTTGATGACATCTTTCCAACCACTTTGAGTCATGGCTTGACTCGTGTTTCCTTGGCAATCCACCTCCACCGCCAGCAGTGTGGTGAGTGGAGCGGGGTGCAGGGATTTCCCCCGTATAGCCTTAACAGACTGTAGGGGCAAGTGCTGTTAGGGAGCACACACACGCACCCACACACACGCGCAACGCGCACCCACACACACGCACCCACACACACACACGCGCAACGCGCACCCACACACACGCACCCACACACACGCATCCACACACACACGCACCCACACACACACGCGCAACGCGCACCCACACACGCGCGCAACCCGCAACGCGCGTGGCGACCTCGCTGGCACAAATCTGCCACCCCAAGCGCCATCGTCACACACTTATCGGACCTTCTCATGTCGAGTTGTCTGGCGCCGTGGTGCAAGGCGCGTTACAATAATTATTATTTCGGTTGTACGTTGGATGATGGCGGTCGAAATGAAGAGTGGGGGTTGTTGTTGTTGTTATTAAAAGTGGTGGTGTAGTTGTGGTGACAGGAGAACGAGTGGGGTGGTTAATGAGGTGTTGGGGATAATGCACGTCTGTGAAAAAGAAGGGTAGTGATAGGAGCTGGGTTAGTGGTAGGGGTAGTGGTAGGAGTGGTAGAAGTAGGGGTAAGGTAGGGGTAGTGCTAGGCCTGGTCGTAGCTGGGGTGCAGTAGGATAGGCACGGGGGGAGGGATGTTTAAGTGCGAGATGTAATTATCAGGGGTGGAGTACTTTCGACAAATGAATGGTGGGACAACATTTATGTATTTTGCGATGCGTGATCGTGTGTCGTCATCGGTGATCGAGCTGACACCATTAAATCGCTCGACTGGAGAAACAGGTTCAAACACAACTCCGCCCTTTTCAGTCGATGGGTCTCTATGCAAGTTTATGGGTCTCTCTATGCGAGTCTATGGGTCTCTCTATGCGAGTCTATGGGTCTCTATGCAAGTCTATGGGTCTATATGCAAGTCTATGGGTCTCTCTATGCGAGTCTATGGGTCTCTATGCAAGTCTATGGGTCTATATGCAAGTCTATGGGTCTCTCTATGCAAGTCTATGGGTCTCTCTATGCGAGCCATTGGTGACTTTGCTGAGACCATCAACTCAATCACTGGAGAAGCTGTTTTTAAATCACAGGCAGCGGCTAAGACTTGGAGTTGAACCCAGGCCTCTCAGCGGGTTCCGGCTCGGCCTGCCTCTGACCTCAGAGCCATTCGATCACCTCTCCCGAGTATTTAAACTTGGGGCCAAATATTTTTTTTTCAACACCCTAAACAAGCATAATAGGTGTTTTGCGTTAGATCGCTTCAATATATCAATGTGTCGTTAAACCCGCCACCACCCAACATAGACAATTAGTAAGATGCGTTATGTAAACTGAACTTGCCAATTCGTCACTAGTACAGCACTACGCCGGTGTGTTGCAACCTCTGTGGATTTGCTCTCCAACACACCGGTGTGATGCACTAGTAACGAATTGGCATGTTCTGTTTACGTGACAACCCTTATTAATTATCTGTTGGGTGATGGCGGGTTTAACAACATTATATATTTACGTGATCTAACCCAAAAAACTCGATTATCGATGACATTTTACCAGGTAAGTCCCCACGATTAAGCTACAGAGCTGTTTTTCATCAGCGACCTGGCTTCTCAAATGATAACAGCTCAATGGAGTGGCGGCTTTTCATCATCGTCGTGTGGAAATTTAACGCAAGCAGCAGCTAAATACTCTCAACGCGTGACGTTGATTCTAAATGTGAAGGGAAACCCCAGAGGACCCGGAGAAAAATCCACGCGACCACGAGAAGAGAGAGAGAGACGCAAACTCCAAATATACAGCAGCAGCAGACGTCAGGGTCGGGATCGAACCCACGACCCTCCTGTATACCAGGCGAGGTAGTCAACAGCCCCCCCCCGCCGCCGCCTTCCCCAGAAGGCTGAACGATGAGGCCAGCAAGGACCCGGCCCGTAGGCAACAGAAACAGTCGCCTGCATCCAGGGACAGCGGCGTGTGGGTGGAGGGCGCCGGGGGAAACAAAGAGACGCGGCCCAGGGGACTGCGGTATCTTAGAGATGGCAGCCACGCCAATACGGCTCAGCCACTCCCAATGGCCGCGAGCCAAAGACCGCCCCCCCCCCGCCCGCCCTCCCCGGGTGGCCGACAGAGGCTGTTTGGGGCAAGGGAGCGCTGCTAGCGAGCAACGCCGACCAGGTGGCCACCACGGAGAGCCACCACGCCCGGCCGTCGTCTTCGTCTCCCCCCTGACCGACGCGTACCCCCAAACGCCGCCCGTCGCGCTGCTTGCTGTGAAGGCCGAGCGGACCCCCATCGGGGGGTCGGGTGCCCCAGGACCGGTGTCGACTGATATTTTGAAATTCGCCACCGACGTTAGCCGTGAGAGGGACGTCGAACGGACTTCGGTTCGTGGTGGTGCAGCGCGCTAATCATCGCGCCACCACTCTCCCCTCCGCACGCACCAATCAACGTGTACAGAGGCGCGCACACGCGCGCGCCTCTTGCGTAAATGTTCTCCGGATGCCGTTGAGGACATCGCAATTATCGGTTATCCCGTAGGGAGAACTCGGCGAGGCCTTCCTGGATAACCAAGCTTCGTACAAGACAATCGCCCGGCACACAACATCCAGTGTTCCCTGTCGCTATGGCTGTGGCTACGAGTCGCACTCCGACTCGAGTCGACCATATTTCGCCACGCTACTATGTGTCGGCCCCGTGGGAGCGGTGCGAAGAGCTCCGTGCTCTGCATGCGCACGGCAACCCCGGGGTTCGTGAGTTCCACTGCTGGGCCACTCCGGTGGTCATCCCCGCAACGGCAGCGGCTTTTGGCTGCTACCCATCGAACAAAGGTGGCGGTCACCGCATCGCACGGCGCTTTCAGACGAGCTTCCTGCGGCCGTCTGGAACGCTCTTCCGATATGAGGACGCCACTGGGGCTATGCACTTTTGAATCGTCTGGATTTAAAACTCATTTCTTTGGAACGTCTTTTGGTGTTTAGTTTGTTGCCCCCCCCCCCCCCCCCGCGGCACCTCCGAATATCACGGTTGGCGACGTGCAGTGCGAAAGAAGTTCAACGCACATCGGTGCATGCACACGTCAGTGGCGGGTGATATCCGACACCCGCCCCACAACTACGCAACCCCCCGCTCTGTTGCCCAACCACCAAGAGGCGGCTTGACAAAGGGGCTGCGATGAATGTACACAACGTCGATGGTGTTGGCCGACGCGCGATCATTCGCGGGGGGTTGGGGGGCAGGGGGGGTTCACGTTGGGGTGGCGAGGCACCACCCGGCAACCTTCCTCGGGGCCCTCCGCGACGCAAGCGCCGTCAGTCACCACCAAGCCACGCGGCACAGCGGTGAGGTTACGCAATCCCCCCCCCCCCCAGGCCCCTTCTTACACCCCCTCCCTCATCCACCCCCACCCCTCCAACAAAAAACGCACACGGAATGGGGGGGGGCTCCGCGTGGGGCAGCGTGTAAACATACACAGTGGCGATAACAACGCCGCGGTGCCATTAAAGTATTAAATAAAGTGTACGGTGACATTTAGTCGCCCACATGGCCCTGAAGCCTCGCGCACGGCTTTCTTTAATAAGAGGGAGGCCCTCTTACATTGGGGGTTTTTTCTTCTAATGTTTGGTCAAATCATGTTTAACGAGTGCTGACTGACTGAAACCTGTTCTGCCACTTTGCTCAAACTGTTTGCATTTTAGCTCAAATGTGTCTCCCTTCAAACGACAGGCACGTGTGTGTGTTTTATGGATCAGTCAACCCATGGGCACCTGGGTGCGTCCCGTGACCTGCTGCCAGCGGGCGTTCGACACTTTGCGTGGCCTCAACGTGCACATAGCCTGGCACAAGGGCCGTGGTGATGTTACCGCCACTTAGTGGCGAATGGTGGTTGTTTTATGGATGTGGGGAGTGGTGGCGGAGTGAAGTGGTGGCGGAGTGAATTGGCGCACCGCGCCAACCTGTTCTGGGTCCTCCCCCGAGGTCGACTGCTACAGCAGAGGTGTAGAGAATTTCAACAGAACCTACATCTCTGCTTTACTGACCTGGGCAAAGCCTATGAAACAATCAACAGGCCAAGGCTCTGGACTGTTCATGCTTTTGGGGTCTCCGACTCTCGCAATCATTCCAGAACTTGATGATGGTTGGCAGGCACGGGTACAGCTGCGTGGCCGGGAGCTATTCCCTGTTCACCTTGGGGTGCGACAGGGATGACTTCTGGCCCCTACATTATTTAACATGTTTTTTGACCACGTAGTTTGAGAAGCGTTCGATGACTGTAGCGGAGGAATTTGCATCTGGTACAGATATAATGGGAGGCTGATTTATGCAGCAGAAGGGTGGCTCCCTATTGGTTAACCATGTTATTTTGCTGATGATCTGGTAATTGCTGCTCACTTAAATGAGTTGGAGGATCTGTTGCTAAACCTGGAGCGTGCCACTAATAGGCGGGGCCTTAGCCATCAGCCCCACCTAAACTAAGCACCTGCCTGGGTATTTTGTGTTATCAAACACTCCATCCTGTCAACTCCCCGTAAGTGATGGGACAGTTGTGGAAGGAATACATGGGCAGTGTGCTTATGACCAGATCTGGTTAGGCAGAGGGGGTCTCGAGCGGCATTATCTTTTAATTGGCTACGTACTGCTGTGTAGCAGCAACCTGGTCTGTCGCTCCACACGAAGCTACAGGTCTTATCGGCCACAGTCATGTATTCACTTTATGTTTGCGAAACGTGGAGCCCCTCTAACAGGAACAAATGCACGAGTTTGAAACATTCAGGCGAACCTGCGCCTACGATCCATCCGGATTTTAACAAGGCTGCACATTGTGAAGAGCTCATATCATTGAAAGCTCTGTATACTAACCATCGGTGAGCTCCTCCGGCAAGCGAGGCTGGGTCAAATTGCCTGCATATTCAAGCAGCTTCTGTTTGGCCAGATAGAGGGGAGCCAAATGGGCACGGCACGGGCTGGAGAAGAGGTGGGCTGATGTGGTACATTAAGATGTGGAGGAGCTGAGTGGATTTGCCAATGACTTGTACCAGAGGTGACAAGATACGCCTTTGTGGAGGAGGTTTGTGAATGACGCTGCTACTGGGCAGTTAGAGGCAGTCGCCCTCCAACAACAGCGAACGTCAGAGAAGCAATGCTCACAACAACGAGCAGAGCACCGGGTGGATAAAACACAGAAAGTTGGCACAATAGGGGGCACAGGTGGTGCATCTACCAGTTATCGCAGTCCGTTAATCTATGGCACCTGGATCTCTACCATGACCTCCTGCCAGCGAGCCTTCGACACATCACGTGGCCTCAAAGTTCACCTAGCGTGGCACAAGCGCCGTGGTGACGTCACCGCCACTCAGTGGCGACAAGCGGCCGCTGTTGTGTTTATAAACGGTGGGGAGCGGTTTTCACAGCGGTTAGCGCACCGCGCTCCACGAACCGCGCGACACGGGCGTGGTGCTGGCCACCCACCGGTTCGTGTGTCGTGCCGGCCCTTCATAGGCGCTTGCTAATAATACCACTTGCCCCAACAGCCTTGTTGAAGGATACATGAGGGATCTTTGTCTGTGTCGTGTGCGCCTGTGTCTATAAAGTAACATTATTATACTATAAAAAGGCAACATTTGTCCAGGCTGGCCTCATTTGAGAGCTTGGCAGCGTGCCAAGCACAGGAGTCTAATGGTGGGCAACCGGGGCTGGGTGGGGGCACCACAGACGTTGCCCCGTGTGGTGTCCAGGTCTGCCTTGTAAAGAACAAAATAAGAAAAATATTCCATTCCCCACTCGGTTTAAATTAAATAAAAACACAGACAGGAGCTGAATGTGATTGGATGATGTCAGCCTAAGCACGTGCCATGGCGGATAGGGAAGGGGACGATGATGACGATGACGATGATGGTGATGATGACGATGATGACGATGACAGAGAAGGGGATGATGATGACGATGACAGAGAAGGGGACGATGACGACGATGGCTGATATCAACGCGGTTTAAGAATTAGAATATTTACTTGTACTGGGGAGGAGGAATCCGATGAGCTATGAAGCTCTCTTTCACAGATGTCCAGTAGGGGCGGGAGTGATGGGGGGGGGCCTCATTCACCAGCTGGTGCTGCTGGGCTGTGGATCGCTACATCGCAGCATCGCGAGACGGCGGCTGCTGGAGGCGGCCTTCATCCAACAGTGGATCGACCGAGGCCGATTGATGGTGATGATTATTGCGCGCTTGGCAGCGTCTCCGCACCTGATAGGCTCACAGTGATGACATCACCTTCACTCCTCTATTTAAGACCGGGGACAGGGAGACTTCTTCACGACTCTGGCTGTCGCCTGACGAAGCTGGTTGCTGTTGTCGTTGCAATCACCAGCAAAACGTCATGGCACTCGAATTGTAAAAGTCGTGGGTTTACTCTCCAACGTACCACCGGTGTGCTGAACGAGTAACCAATCGGCACGTTTTGTTGACGTGTCGAGTGGTGGCAGGTTTTAACGACAAATTTCTATTTACGCGATCTCTCCCAAAAAACGATTATTGTCCCCGAGCCGTGCGAAACACCTGGCACACAACCACAGTCACGCATCGGGTTCACAGAGTCGCGCAAAGTGCTCCGCGTCGTATCTCACGAGGTCGTCCACACGACCACCACCGTCGGCCACCGTGGGGCCACAAAAGTAAAGTTTGTGGGGGAAAATAGCCATTTTCTATACTTTTTAGGCATAAGCAATAAAAAACACTTACTACCCAAGATAAAAAATTGTTCATAATCAACGTTTTTGGGTTTAGATCGCGTTATTTATAAATGTGTCGTAACCCTCCACCTCCCGACACGGCCAATCAGTAAAAAAGTGTCACGTTGACAAAAGACAAATAGTTCACTGCTTTAGCCCACCGGTGTGTTGAAGCGTGAAACCACAACATTTACAATTTGAGTACGACGTTTCGCTGGTAATTGCATTTTGCAATTGCATTTGGTTTCACGCTTCAACACACCGGTGGGCTAAAGCAGTGAATTTTTTGTCTTTTGTCAACGTGACACTTTTTTACTGATTGGCCGTGTCGGGTGGTGGAGGGTTACGACACATTTATAAATAACGTGATCTAAACCCAAAAACGTTGATTATGAATAATATTGGTCGCGAAAGCCTACGTGTTAAATAAAAAATTGTGTTACATATGTTACATAGTGATATTCAAACATGATTTACCACCCCAGAGCTTATCTCTTTTCCGAATTTGATGTTTGTACAACCAAGGTATCTTCACCGCACCGTTACAAGCACCATAATTACTGCGAGG